GTCAAAACAACCCAATTGCTGGGTTTGTCCCTATTTTACCCAGCACTGGGTTGTATTTAACCCAGCATTTTTTAGAGTGTAAGGTTGAGCTTAGGTGCTTAAATAAATAAATATATATATATATATACTGTAAATAAAATGATCATCTATCTTACCTAAAAGTATCAAGATCATTTTAGAAACTTTTTAATACAAATTGTTATTACTGTAAGTATTGCTCATTAAAAGCAATGGACTTACTGGGTATGGTGGTGCTACACTCTAAAAAATGCTGGGTTAAATGCAGGTTTGTCCCTATTTTACCCAGCACTGGGTTGTATTTAACCCAGCATTTTTTAGAGTGTATAAGGTGCTTTTGGTGTCAGAAAATGCCAAAATGCCTATTCTGTTCCCCAGTTTCATGTAACCTGTTTCTTTATTCTCTCCGATTCAAGTATACACAGACATATAGTTTGTGATTGATATACAAAATAAGCCTATGCATCTTCTTTTTTGCACTCCAAGCATTGAAAACCATGAAGCCCTAACTCCTGGAAAATTGAAAGCTGGATATGTTCTGGTCTTTGAAAAGATAAGACCAGTAAGATGGTGGAAAGGACATCTGTTATTACACACTTACTGGTGCATGAGAGCTGAAGTCTCCGTTTGTACTTCCTGCCCATTCTTTTGAAACTTTAAAAATATGTTTCCAGGGCAAGAGGGAATCGCTGTGATGAGCGATTCCTCATTCAACTGATTCTTAATTTCTCCCTTAAATTATGTAATTTAAGTAACCATTTTAAAGAAAAATGGTGTCTGTATGGTGTACATTTTGGACATTCTCAAAACTCAGTTATTTGATGAAATAGCATCGCACCTCAGTCTAAAAGGCTTCAGGTCTCAGGAAAAACAATGGACAAAATGGCCTCTCTCAAAAAGCACTCTTCCAACTCCAAAATCCACTTATCCCTCAGTTAAAAAAAAAAAAAAGTTTTATGTGCTACCTGTGCCACTTCAAAACAGTTTAAATTAATGCAATAATATAACAGAAAATAAAAACCTGTTTGGAAAGCAGTCTTTATATGACTGAATGGATTACAAATTGTGTGATATTTTAATGTCAGTTTGATCAGTGGCAACCTGTTTTCACTCCCACAACGTCCAGTACTGCAGCTTGTATGCATGCAACTATACACGCATTCAATCTTACCAATGCGAACAGTAAGCCAACTGCGTTCAACGAGTAAACGTTAAGGGCATGGGACTTTCACTACGATGAAATTATGTTATAATTTTGGGTAACCCTAATGATATGTTGGGGCTTGATTTTCAATTTGAATGCATTTTAACATAATATGATGTAACAGGCACAAGAAAAGTAGAGTCACAATAATAAATTCAAAATAATAATAATGATTAAAAAAAACTTAGAAGTATATTCAAACAATTTAAGCTACATTCCAAGTCTTAAAGGCGAGATATTTCTTTGTGGCGGACTTAAAATTTGATCACCGTCACTGTCTGCCACAATATTTCAATATTTCAATAGTTCTTTTTTTTGTCATTTTGTTGAATAAATTATTGTGACTGTCTGTTATATGTTTAATGACGTACTTAAGTACTTAAGGGTACACTCTAAAAAATGCTGGGTTAAATACAACCCAGTGCTGGGTAAAATAGGGACAAACCCAGCAATTGAGTTGTTTTGACCCAGCGGTTGGGTTAAATGTTTAACCCAACCTTCTGGGTAGTAACCCAACCGCTGGGTCAAAGCAACCCAATTGCTGGGTTTGTCCCTATTTTACCCAGCACTGGGTTGTATTTAACCCAGCATTTTTTAGAGTGTAAGGTTGAGCTTAGGTGCTTAAATAAATAAATATATATATATATATACTGTAAATAAAATGATCATCTATCTTACCTAAAAGTATCAAGATCATTTTAGAAACTTTTTAATACAAATTGTTATTACTGTAAGTATTGCTCATTAAAAGCAATGGACTTACTGGGTATGGTGGTGCTACACTCTAAAAAATGCTGGGTTAAATGCAGGTTTGTCCCTATTTTACCCAGCACTGGGTTGTATTTAACCCAGCATTTTTTAGAGTGTATAAGGTGCTTTTGGTGTCAGTATAGTGGCAGTATCTGAGTGAGTATGGGTTGTGTATGAACATATATATATATATATATATTCATACACACCCCATACTCACTCAGATACTGCCACTATACTGACACCAAAAGCACCTTATACACTCTAAAAAATGCTGGGTTAAATGCAGGTTTGTCCCTATTTTACCCAGCACTGGGTTGTATTTAACCCAGCATTTTTTAGAGTGTATAAGGTGCTTTTGGTGTCAGTATAGTGGCAGTATCTGAGTGAGTATGGGTTGTGTATGAATATATATATATATATATATGCAAATAGTCAATATCTTAATATACTGTATAGTGAAAACATTTCTATGAGCCACATACAGATGTATGAATCTCAATAATAAAATAGTAAACCAAGAGCCATCTGCAAACAATTGATGCTACAGCTTTTCTCATGTTCAAATGATTTTCTTTTTTTTTTCTCAGCCATTTTTTGGCAACGACTTTTAAAGGCATGAAGATGACCACTTGGACATCAGATCATTTGAAAATGGACTTAGATTTTTACATTTCCTGATAAAATTGTGAGTGATGCTTACCTGTGTAAAATTTGCTGTCATTATGTAAGGATGCTGTTTTTGGTTGTTATGATGATGCTATGCCGTTCTTAAGATGTTCTGCATATTTTTTCATGTGCATCGTGCACCTAAAGTGTATGTGTGGTATTCAGTTGCCACATCTTTCTGGGTGGTTAAGAGTTTTTTTTTTTTTTAATGGCCACAAACATTCTACCAGCAAGTCTCTTAGATATTCTAGTCCCTAGGTATAGTTTGTTATTTTAGCCTTAGCAAACACTACTAATAACACATTACTGTTTGCTTTTTGATGCTTTACTGAGTGAATTCAAGGCAAATATTGGAAGGTACCATCAAGGTTAATAGTCCCAGGTGCACAAGCCACAAGAACAATTGGTTGTTGCTCACCTGGCGATGACGAAGAGTACACAGCTGACTCCCAGGTAGGCCAACAGGATGTAGACCCAGATATCAGGGGTCATGGGGTTCAGGAAGGAGAAGAAGCCAGAGTTGGTGCTGTTGGGTCTACGGTACAGGATGCTGATGCCAGTGTTCAAGAAAGGTTTGGAAAAGTCAATCGCTTTTTCCCGCATAAAGGTGATTGTGAGAGGAGCCACAGCAAGGTCAGCCCTCTACAGGACAGGAAACCAAAATTAGGATCGAAGAAGGGTTCAGAAACATTGAACAAAGAAAGTCTAGTCCATAATATTCAACAAAAAAATCAACATGAAACCACACTTGAAAACCATTTTACTTCCTTAATGCAACACATTTTTTAATTAAACAAGATATTTAACAATAAAGATATGTTAGGTAGAACCTGGCTATTCATCAGAAATTAAATGCATCATCAACCCATGTATTAACAATGTGCCTGTGGTGAGATTTCACCAAAGGCTTTGCTCCCTGCTTGTTTCATGACACCTTCAAAGTGAAATGTCAGTCCCGCAAAAAGTAAGTTCAGTTTTATCAAAAACACATTAACATGAATATTGGCAATGTTGTATTATTTTGGTTGTTGTACGTATCACGTTAGTTTGGGAAATAACACGATCAGTGAGTCGCCACAATGGAGATTAATGCTCTATCGCATTTGAAAATAGCATACCATCAGTGCTGTGTAGATTATAAACTGTAGTACATTACAGATTACAAATTACATGACAATAACATAGTATAAATTAGTTACATAATCTGGATTACACATTTCAGGTAATGAAGTCTGACTACTTTTTGATTACTCTCACAAAGACTTCAATGGGATTATTGTGTACCAAAAAAAGAGAGAGAAAGAAAACACTATATATTCCACTTATATATTCCATTCTTTGTTATAAACATCACAAAATGCATTAACAGCACTTAAATTACTGTATGAATAATTTGCTGCCATTGTGTGAATAATAAGTAATCATGGAATCCATAAAAAGTAACTAATCGGATTATGAGAATTTTTAAATGTAATGCAATCTAATTACAAGTACTTAATTTGTGGAATCTGATTACGCAATCCAGATTACATGTAATCAGTTACTACCCAACACTGCGTACCATCTACACTAAACCCTATCCTAAACCAAATCGATAGTGTTAACAAAAGCAAACCTGACAAAAAAAAAAGAATAATTTGCCAAAGCAACCATGACATTTAAGCTTTCTTCTACAAGTCTTTGAGCTATTTTATCATGTCTTGTGTACAGTGCAGTACCAGGTGGGCTACCGAGCAAGTTTTCTATATCAGAAAAGCCTTACATTTGGAGCTGGTTACGTAATGCAGACATGAAAAGGTATTAGTTTTCTAATCATGCACAATGAGAAAAGTGTTTTGAGGTCATAATATAGTGTTGTGCAAAAAGCATTTATTAATTTATAATCTACGAATGTAACCATAATTTATTTGAAAATAAATCAAATGTGTTGTTTTGCTGACACTAGTGTTTATTTTTTTATTGGAAACTGCAGTCAATTGTATTTTTGGAGTTTTGCCAAATAATAATAATATACAAGCACATATACAAGTTTGTAGTCAGTTTGTGGAAGAGTACTTTTGTTCTGAAACGCAACAAATACAACTTTTTGTCCCCAATAATTTGAATTTCCAATAACATATGAAACAAAATCAGACTCAGAATGTGTATTAAGAAAGTAAATAGAGACCATTTCAGTTTCAGGTTGGCACAGTTGGCGTGCTTCAAAAAAAAAAAAAGTGAAAATCCATCGTTTGTTTTTTAAATGAGGAATCTAGGCTCTGTACTGATGTTGGAGCAATCACATGCTGAATAACTATATGACGAAACAGATCAATTGTTACACAAACATCATTATAATATAAGTCTTACCTGAAATAATATAAAAAGGTCTCTTTTGAGATAAGTATAGATATGGCAGCATGCAAACCATCCTTTCACACTCCATAACACGGGCAAATTCACACCCCAGAGGCTCAAAGTCAGTACTGCCAAGGTGACTCAACTGTTGAAACAAGTGGCCTAGTTTCCTCGCTGTCTGCTATTACATTCCCTCCCTCTCCTTGAGAGAGCAAGAGCAGGGAGGCGTTCACTCGCTGATATCTGGCTGCATATTTAGAAGGTCACCATTTACATCGCCTTACCCTGCTTCCGTCTCTCCAGGGTTGGACAGGAGGTTAATAAAACCTGCTGCTTGGTGCACGCTTCACTGCATCCTTCCCCCTAACATGATGAAACTTGCAAAGGGGTTCAGACTATGGTCTTACAAAATACTGCAAGCCAACCATCACGGACTGAAGCATTTTCACGTGATGTCCTTTCTTCCTCTCACAAGAAGACTGCTGTTACATTTTCTTGGCTTTCTGTGACATTTCATTGCTGTGACCTGTCCTGGTGGTTGGACGGTGAACTGTATTGCCTTTCTTTGTATTGTTCTGTCTTTCCTGCATCCTGGGCTTTGGCCTCTTTCTTTTTGACAGTGGTTATGAAAAGAGCCACAGTTCTGATTGACACACCTGAGTACCTGTATAGTACAGCATGTGGCTAACCAGGGGAAAAGAGGAAAAACCAAGAGAAAGAAAACTCCAGTGTGTCTACAGGTTGGGTACCTGCAATCTCATTAAATATTTAGATTAAACAACACACCGTTTTTTCATTTGTTCTCTCGGCCATCCACAGTAACCATTCAAGACTATGGATCTGGCCTGCAGGGCAAGGAAATCCCTGCTGAAAACACTAGCATACTGGTCACCATGATGTGTTTTAGATGATGGCTCTTCAGCCAAGCTTCTTAACTGGATTAACCAGCAAGACTTTCTTGGTTGCCAACTTCGCCAGCTAATTTTGTGGTTAAAAAAGTTTGCATATGTCTTTTGTTGAGTATCATATTTGATTCATCAAGTAGTATGATATAGGAAAATATGGAGTAAAAAAAAAAAAAAAACTTTTATTCAGAAACCCAAACTGAGCAAAAATACACAATTTGGTGCTGTTGTTGAAATGTATATGTCCAAAAGAAACAGAAAATAACAACAATAATATTATTATTATCATCATCATCATCATCATCATCATCATTATTGTTCCAAACCTGTATTTTTTTTTATTGTGGTGGCAAAACATATAATGTGATGCAGTATAATGATGATTGAGAACATATACTAGCTGTTTTACAAAAGTTTAGAACATGGCCCATCCGATCAGTTTTTTTGAGCCGGTGCTATGATTTTATAAAAACAAATCAATTTGCATTAGTGAAATGTCAATGTACAATGTCAATTTTCGCTCATGGACAATGGACATGTCAATATAATCTGTTATAATCCTTTAAGGATTTTGCCTTTGCTTGTCAGGTCGTAATGAGAATGATTAAGCTCGGCAGAGTGCTCAGGACTGTGAAATGTATTAAAAGGCCCTACATAGTCCAAGTCAAAGTTAGTACAGTGAGACAATGAGCCAGTGCTGGTACATAACCTTCCGGCTTATCCACCGGAGCAAAGATTAATTACTATAACAGGAAGAAATGACATGCTAAGGCAGCCATTAACACTGGCATGGCTGGATGATTAATGAGATAATCAATTATAGCTAAATCAAGTATAATAAGCCTGTTGCATCATTTAACGCCTTTACCACCGTGACCTTTAGCTTTGGAGTGGGATTTGTGGCCCCTTTTGAAAAAGAGGAGAAAAATAAACTGTCCTACTTGACACAACAGTCCTTATGACTTTAATTAATATCCAGTTGAGTATTTAAGAAGCACTTTTTTTTCTTTAGCATTGCAGCTACTCTCCATGATAAAAATAAATAAATAAATAAAAATTTAAAAAACTCTAAATAAATATTTACAGCTCTTGTCTTTACTTTGACATCATATATTCCATGAGTCTCCTGGAAAGCATTTCCTATCTAACTCCCATGAGTGATCCATAATCTCCCAGAAATCTGTCACTGTCATTGCAGCAGTCATAACACTTTTTCAATTTTCGTGCAACACAGAAAGGTCGAAAAGAAAACATATATTTTATATATCTTATATTATTTATCAGATTACTATATAGCAATGCATGTTTGCATTGTGAAAAATATTTGCTGTAATCAGTAATACAGTAAATATAAACAATATCTTAACGTCTTTAAAACAACATGATACATTTATTTAATTATCTTGTACAATTTTGCTTATAGAACATTTATTGAATGAAAGGTTTCAAAGGAAATGTCTTTGTATGAAAATGCAAATGACTAACCTTGGGCACATGGTCACTTATTTAGAATCAGGGTTACTATTGTTAACTAAAAGCTTTTTTTTTGTTATTTGAAATTAACAACCCAGGCTCATTGGAAATATGTACTTGTGGCGATGTTTCTGCAACACTGTTTTTATGTACCTTAATGCATGTTTTGCTGTAGTTACAAAGATAAATGTCCAGTGAGTGGCGCTAAAACACACGTACAATACGTGACTGTGACCACGTTTTTATTAGATTGGTACAGGCACGTATTACGGCGGTTCAGAATTCAAGTGTCCGGGGAGAGTCAATGAAAGGTTTATGTTCTATCGTGTTGGAAAATAACATACCCCCTACACCAAACCCGACCCTAAACCCACCTGACAATGTTAACAAATGCAAAAGTGATATAAAAACACATTTGCTGATGTGCTATTTTAACGTCCTTATATGCGGGATTGAGCTGCTTTGTCGAACTGTAGTTCCTTCTAGGGAACTTGTGTTGCGTCCTCTAGCGGACACTTGGGGGACTGCCGCTAGCAGGACCGATGTCTGAAGCATGTGTGAAACAACTCCAATCCTATTGGCCCACATAGCCTATGACGTCACAGGCAGGCGCCCGGTAGTATAAGAAGGTGCCAGTAGAACACGTCACCAACTTTTGTTGTCTTCAGGAGTCGACTGTTCAGCGTGTGTGAAGCATTATCCTGGTGAATCAAGCAGTGCTTTAGGGAATGTATGCCTCCGTGTTTGGATTCTTACACTTGAGGGCATATTTTGACTTTTGCGTTATTGTCTCGGTGAGGAGCACACGTGTTCAGTGATGTGCGCTCATTGTGATGAGTCACAATGTCAAGGCTCCGCTCGCGCTTGTTCTTATTCCCGAGGGATGCAAGAGATCATAGGCGGAGCTATATCCAGCTGTACCTCTCT